AAACCAAATTCATCTGCAAATAGTTATTTAGAAAATTTTGTTATTATTTCCAGGACACTTTTTCTTTTAATCTTACATACATCATTTCAAAATGCTACAATAAATAATACTAAAATTTTTTTCCAAATAACCTGTGTATGGATATAAAAAAGAATTTCAATTAATATTTTACTTGTATCATAAATATATTTTACAACTATTTTGTGTATTTTCTACTACCTTTTCAACTCACATATATTAAATCACCAAAAGTGCTAATGTAATTATTCTAAATAACTTTTCAAATAATTTTCTCTCCAAACACCTTCAAATTTAAACAAACCCACTATATTTTGGTTTATTTATTAACATATGTATAAAAGAGGGAATGCTATGGCTCAAAAGGGATGGTTGTTTTGCTGATGTGGCCAATTGTTATTGGCTGGAGTGTGTTCGTCCATGTGTGTGTGTGTGTTTGCTTGTTTTTTTTTAATGCAGAGGCTGCAAATTGGGTCGTGCGTTTGTAAGCCTGAGTGTTTTGCTGTATGGAACCCACCAAAAGAGCAATAATTAATAGCTGTCCTTTTTCTTCAAACATTTGGGTCTATTTCTCTTCCCACCGTACCTATTTGCAGCCTTTTGGTGACACCGATTGGACTAATAAATTGTGATAAAAATTGGAGTAGTTAATGAGCTCAATGTGACGGGTCATGTCTTACTCATTTGCCCTGGTTGCAATGTTCATTTATCTTCTTTTTGGGATAGCTGTGCCTTGGTAAACCACCGCTGCCGTCTATATTCTTTGTCATTCAATTTTTGTTTCTTTTTTCGAGCCACACGATTTCTCTTTTGGCCGATGAGCTCGAAACCAAGAAAGGTTCCATCTTTCTCTTCCTCTTTCTCTTTCCTCTTTTCATTTCTTTCTCTCTTCTTCCTCTCTTTGCTTTTCTTCCCCAGGGACAAGCCAACAACAGTCCAACCGTCGAATGCCCACCTGTTTGAGTTCAATTTTTTTTCCCAGATATCATGGCTATCTGTTGGATTTATATTACAGCAAGAGAAATGGGACAAAGAAAAACATAAGCCATGAAAAAAAGAAGCAGAAAGGGGAAAAATGGATCTTCATCAGAACATGTATGCTTTTGTTTTTACATTTTTTTCATGAAATTTAAGTTGGTTCTGTGAGTCTTTTTTCGTTTAATTTTTTCCCTAATCAGAGAAAGAAGATGTGAAGAAGAATAAGCAGATGAAGAGAAGAGAATGGATCTTCAGCCTAATCGGGTCTGTAAGTTTATTTTTTATTTTAATTTAATCCATCAATTAGCCATCAATTATTTTTTATGAGAAGAAGAATTAGCCATCCGACTCCCTCTCTCTGACCCATGCTCTCTTTCTTCTCGTCTTTTTCCTCATCCTCATCCTCATCATCACGAAGAAAGCTGCACTTTTTCTCTCCAATTTCTTTCTGATAGACAACAACAAAATCGAAAAGTTGGCTGGAATTTTTTTGCTTCAAATTCTCTTATTGCTTCATTTTTTCCAAACTATGTTTATTAGTCTTTTAGTTCTTTTTCTCCTATTATTTTTGACACCTCGTGCCACTTGCCAGTGTTGTCCCCGCCGATTAGTGCTGCCCTCGTAAGTCCCTTTTCTCCCTCTGATTCTAAGCAGTTCCTTTTTCGCTTCTCTATTCTTGTTTCATTGTAAATTTTCGAGCAATGTAACTCGATTCAGCAGTTTCTATTGAGTTCTTGAACTGCACTCGGAAGAATTTTTAACCCATCTCGTGGTGGTAGCATTTGATGGTTAGAGTTGCAGATTATTCGCCTTTTTCACTTGACACTGGCAAACTTATATTAGGTCAAGAAACTATAGTAAATATTATGCGCAAGTCCCAGAATTCGCCAACGTTAGACTAGTGCATGGACGTTTATGAAGTCCAAGTTTTGATCACTGATTCGAATTTTGTTTGCTTCTTTTTAATGAGAGTTATGAAATTGAAATTATTGATGGGATTCTTTGTATTATTGATGGGATCCTATAAGAATGCATTTCTCTTTTTTGGTGAAATGTTGTTTTGTGTTTTCTACTTATTATATTCACTTTTTTTCTGTGGAAAGTTATGGAAAGAAATTAGACAGAAATATAGAAAATTTCAGACATATTTGAACTGAAAATCTTCCCAAAACCTATTTAAATGAAAAAAGACCATCATCAGTAGTCGTTAACCTTATTTTAAATGTATAGGCCTTGAAATTGCAAAGATTGTAGCTTCATCCTCTCTGTTTTAATTTTGCTAGATTTCTTTTGTCTCTGTTTGGGCCAACTAGGACACAGAAAATGTGTTGTTATCCCTATAATCCAAAGAACTGGATTAAATCAGTTAACTTTCTTTTCTTTTTGATATGGTAACACTTCCCCAGGAATTTCTTACAAATTAGCCTTGTAATTGGGAGTTTATGTGTAAGGGCTTGTATTGGAAGTTTCATGTCTATTGCCTATTACTTTGTGACATTGTAGTTGGCTCTGAATTAGCATATAATGAAAATTTTGTTCTAGACTGATCATACTTGTGCTGTTGCATTTACTGCCCTCTTTTGGAAATGTAGCCTCCATTTCATTGCTATTGCATAAGTATCATGATTGCTGTCTTTTCTGACACCTCGTGTCCTTTCCTCAGATATTTGGCCTTTTGGTATTTTTTGTCTCCTATTATTTACCAGATTAGTTGTCTAATTTTTTTCCCTTTTATGATGTTGTGATGTTGCAGGTACATAATCTGGAAATTTCCTCCACCATCTTCATGTGGTTTTGTAAGTTTTGTTTATCCCTTTTGAAGGTAGATTCTATAAGGTTATTTTCTCAAAAAAGTGTATTCTTTAACATTGTTTCCCATGCTTCTCGAACCTTCTCAGTTTAAGGAAGAAAATAGAAAAAGCAGTTCAATGTTCCTGAAATAAAATACTTGTTTTTCATCTTTTTTCAGTTGTCTAATTCTGTCTGAATATTTATCATGTGGGGTTCTTGAATCTTTTTTTATTGTATCGTTCTTAGTCCCATTTATTGTGGTTTTGTCTACCAGTATAATCTGGTGTTTGTATCAGTGATGCTGGAGTCCTTGATTGGATTTCAAGAAATTGTAGGTTCATGGTGTACTGCCTTGTATACTAGATCATATGGTATATAATCTTGTTTTCAAGTTAAATTGGTCCTAATGACAGGTCAATGTGATTTTCATGCTAAAAAAGCCTTGTGTCGTTGATGGCTCGACTGAATTTTGGGAGTTTAGTAAGCTGTTGTAAGTAGTATTTTGTAGTGATAACGGTATTATTCACTATGGCATTTTAAGAATTGTACCTAACCACGTGGATATTTTCTCCTCCTGGTGGTTGGTGCTTTTTCTTTTTTAAATACCTGATTGAATTATTTGATGATTTGACTTGTTGCTTATGGTTATACGTTGGTTTGTTTTGACAGCCTTGTGTGTGGAAACTCCCATGGTATTATCAGAAAGTATGACCTGATGTGGTGCAGACAATGCTTCCGCAGCAACACTAAGGAGATTGGATTAGTTAAGGTAATGGATTCGAAGTTTTAAGAAAGGAATGATCATATTATTACCTTCTTAAAAAAAAAACTAATAGAGCTACTATGATGTGGTTGTTGTTTTCATTGTCATGTTAATATTCATATTCATGTTAGGATCTGATTTTGCATTTAAATTTTCTTGTACCTGTGGTTCTAGATACGAGTATATGCCAATTTAAGAATTTTGTAGTTGGTTGTTGGCACTCTATGATACTGAGTTATGGGTCTTGTTTTTCCATTTTTGTGCCGTCTTGAATAAATTACTAAATCATTTTGATTTTTCTTGTATTTGTCATTGCAATATCAGTGAACAAAAAGGCCGTTGCCTCCTTGCTAGTGGATTTTGTTGAGCAAGCTGCCATTAGAGATAAATGGATCCCAAGTTGTTATTTTCTTGGTATTTTGAACAATTTTGGCTATTCTAATTTACCATTGAACTTGAATTGGTATGTGAATCAACAAATTCTACCATATGTTGTTCTTTAATATAGGGTATCACATATTTTCTTGAGGTTGTCCTTGGTGTGACTATTTTGTGAATGCAATTATGGTGAATTTTTTATTTTTATTATAACAAATTGATGAATTGCAGGCAATGTTTTTAATTAGTTGGTTAATTCTCTTGAACTGAATATTTTGGATCGTATATGTTTTATGTCGATGGCATGACAGATTGGTTCTCGTTCATTGTGACCAAATCTAGATTTGTATTGGAACAGATTGCTTTTTTTATTTATTTAAATCAGATGAGAGGATCTTTTGCAATCATTTCTTATCATTTTGCTATTGCAATAATTACTGGAAAATGCAGAGCCAAGGTATATTCGTGCAAAAACATGAATATTCTGGAGTATTTTCAAAATGAGACTCATTTTAGCTAATGAATACTTATTAGTGGGTTTACAATTTTGTTAAGTTATTAGAGCTTTATTATGCCAGCAATACACTAGATCATCTGCCTACACTACCTGCCAAAGGTTTTTTTATTAGATTTTAGGCAAGAATAATGAGTTTTCTATTAAGTTATGGTAAGGTTCAGTATGAGAAAATTTAGTCCTTGGGAAAAATGCCATATTCACATTTTTACATGGAAAATACGATTTTTTGTTTTGTTATGTGTGTACATTTATGGCCCGTATCTGTTCACATGAAATAATTGCTTAGAATAATCATTTATGCAAATTGATGTGGTCTGATGCCAAGTTTAGGATGGGTAGGGAACTGTAATGCAAGTTTTTATTCCTTGAGCGGGACGGCTTCAATTAATGATCTGTTTTTATTTACTCGATGATAATGTAAAAAGTGAGTTACATGATGCTATAGGGGTTGGGTAAAGGGGAAAGGAGTTATATTACAATGAGGTGGATGCTTGGTAAAGGTAGTTATTTGGATATGAAAATGATAATAATGCATAATGTTTTCATCCAAAAAGGTGATAGTAGTAATTATTTTTCTGTTAAATTTGGTTCGTGATGAAATGTAGTACTTAGTTTGCATTAATTATGGTTGATTCCATCCAAATTTGAGCTTGTTTGTATGTAATTTGCAGGTTGATGGTGCTAAAATTTCTTGTGGATTTGAACAAGATACTTAAATGAGCTTACATTTCTTCAAATTGTGAATGGTTTATGGATGGTAGTACACAATTCTAATTGAGAGAATGTATTTAGCAGGTGAATTTGCCAACATTTAATGTCACATACTGTGGTTAACTTTTTGCTTTTCTAATGCATGACTGCTAATGTTTGAAATGCATTAGCCTGTCTCTATCCTTTTTTTTGTTTTTTTTTTTTTGATGGGGAGGGATCAAGCATAAACAATCGGTGCTTGCTAATTGGAAGTTTAGGATTTTGGCCTTTTTTGGTGGTTTTCTCTTGGCTAATTATAATCAGCTAATAATTATTTTTTGGAAGTACTTGCTAATTATTTTTTCAATTCTTGGCTGATAGCAATCGGAAATTTGGAGTCAATTTTATCTTTTAGCATGATTTTTACTTTTTCAGGTCTGTTGTTTTGTTTCTCAAAGATCTGGTATTTATAAAGTTCACGTTATGTTCTGAAAATTTTTTCCCTTCAGAATTTTTCTCAGTTAGTTGCAGTCAAGAAAAGAAAATATTAACTAGATTTGGCCATGTGGTATGGGTACTGTATAACTCCACTTTCTCTTTATATTTTTGTGCTTCACTCTCTCGTGATCTTGTGACAACCCCACCTCCCCCTAAGGCGAACCAAAGGGTTCGGCGGACTGCCTGTCCAGCTCTCGTCGGGACTCAGTCGTTCACTTCAACCCTCAAACAAAACCAGAATAAACCCACAAGAATAAATATAACGACAATCCAAAACTTAAAGCAAAACTTATGTACATTACTATCTCAAAAGGGAGTACAAACATCGAATATACAAAGGTTCTCAATTCACCACACATCCTGATATAGGCAACCCTAGGGGAAGACCCTCCTAGAACCTCCCAACCTTGTAATTATCAGAGTTGGATCTTTCCTCCCAACAGAAATTGAACTCGATTGTTCTCATGAACTCAAGACCTCTGACACACAAAGGTAATCAGCAACCTTAAGCAAATAAGGATGGAAGAAGCGACACCACGATTAGGGAACAAGCTAATCGATAAAGTCTGATTTGAATCCTAAGCTATGAACTCAAGAATTCAAGAGTAAGTTCGGTTAAGAACTTGAAGGAAAATTCCTCACGATTTCTGATTGTAATATTCTGTCCTTTACTCTTACAAGAGGTGCCTTTTTATAGGCTAAAAACTAGGGCAAAATCCGGCCCACATAAACCTGGAAGAGATTCGGTCCGCATAAAAGAGCTTAAAGAGCTAGCTCTTTAAGGCTTTCCGATAAGGCCCGATAAGTAATAAAATACTCAACGCCTAACAACTACTAAACGGGACAGTCTTAAAACAACTACCAACTAAGCTAACAAGTATGAGATCACTCCTTTACTTCAAACGTACAAGTGAACAAAGTAACTTCATGGTCCATTAAATCTTCAAACTTAGCTTGTTCCTTGCTTGTATGGTGAATGATCAAGGCTCGTAAAGCTTCCTTCACCCTCTTGGATCTTGATCTTGTCATCGGACCGCCAATGTGGACCAAAGGATCCTTGACCCAAGGTTGAAGTTAATTATTACACACCTGTATCCGCATCATTCCCTCTTTCCTCGAAAAGATTCGTCCTCGAATCTTCAAAGTCTCCTCTTGAAAGTGAGTTGTCCACAAATCGATGGTGCGCTTAAAGGACAGCAGTGTTGGAAGTAGACGAATGACTACGAGCCATGTTGCATGTCGTTTGGTCAGCTTCGGGAAGCGCTCAAACAAGGACATGCGCCAAGGTAGGAAAGAACTTGTGTAAGGCGTGTGAAAATCCCAAGTGGCAATCCAAAACTCTCTAATTAGTCTTTGGTCATGGATCTTCACATTGACACCTTGATTGTGCAAAGGTGTAAAATCCAGCACTAGTTGACAGTGATTTGAATCATCTTGCTTGGATAAAATGGGAGTAACTTGTTGCATGGATGAGGCACTAAACAACTTGTGAAGGACAGCTTTGGGATCTTGCGTGACACACAATTTCTCATCTTCCAACATATAAGGTAGCAAACAATTGAATTCCACTTCATGAGAGTTACTCGAACTAGCACAAGTTGAAGTTGACAAATTGAGCACTTGGCCACCAGCTTTTGGCGGAGTGAATAAGCATGAAAGATCACCACATTTAGTTGGAATAAGCACAAAATCAGGTTGTAAGTCTTGAATCAAAACTGGAAAATTGTGGACAGCTTTACAACCTACAAAAACAAAATAAACTTCAACTTGAAACAAATTTGAAATCGGGTAAAGAAGTAATGGTACATTATCAACTAAATGGTAAGAAGGTATAGAACAAGTTTTAAGTGTGAAAACTCCCTTTGACACTTCATCATTCCTTTCACCAATTGATTCAATTTGAGAAGGCATTGCTAGCCTTTTACACTTTTCTTCAAAATCTGGATAAGAAATACAAGTGTTAGGATGGAAATTATACTCAAAAGAAGGTAAAGATGATGAATGACCCATAGGTAGCAAATGAGAGTCAAATTTCGGAATTCTCCCTTCATGGTGGATTTGACGTGATTCCCCTTTGGTATGGACAGATTTGAATTGAAATTGTTCCATGAGATGATTCCAAATAGATTCAATTCCTAAAAGACAAACTCCATGGAAACTAGTGAATTGTACAAGTGACTTTGGAATGGAGCATGGCATGACTAACTTCACTTGACTTTGCTTAATCTGCACAAATGAAGAAACACTAAATAAAGCAAAGGTAAGTTCGTTAGAAAAACAATAAGCCTCACATTTTTGCTCACAATCGTCTCACTTTCTCTCTTTTCTTCCTTTTTACCACTCATCTCATCAGATTTTTCCATCTCTTTATCTAGTTTAACGCCCTCGATTGTTTTCTCATCATCAACCTCCTCAACAAATGGTTCAATAGGATGAGATACTCCTTTGTTGGGAATAGGGTCAGCTATCTCCTTCTTAGAAAACTCACTTTGATAGCATCCATTTGACTCCATTTGTTTTTGGTGTAGAAGACGTTGATATGTCTTCAAAAATGACTCCGCATGAGGTGGTTCAACTCTAAGTTTAGTCTTAGAAAATGCTGAATGAACCTTCTTATCACCTCTTGCATAAACCGGCTTTAAAGAGGTAGATTGCATGGAACCCCTCCTCTTGCTTGAGTTTATGTTCGTTCTCTCGATTGTACAAGTCCGTGGTATAATGGAAGGGTACAAATCGTTTCCTCATCACTTGCTTCATTTCAGTCCAAGTGGCAATCGGTTGTTCCCTATTTCTCCTTCTTGTGGCACATACTTGCTCCCACCAAATAGATGCATAATCTTGAAATTCAATAGCTGCAAGTTTCACCTTTTTATCTTCGGAGTAATTGTGGACTTCAAACACTTGCTCAACTCGCCTAACCCAATCCAAGTAAGCTTCAGGATCATTTTTCCCATGAAAGGTAGGCATCTTGGTGTTGATGGACCCAAGATTGTCATCGGTTCTCCTAGGTCGGCCTCGACCTTCCCTCACTCCCTCTTGGCTTCTCCTTGATCGAAATGAGATGTGAGAATGATACCCCTCATCATCCGCATCATGATCAGCACTCTGAACACTCGAAACCCTATGGTGTGTATCTCCGGTACCTCGCATCTCAATGGCAGCCAACCTGTCGGATATTTGTGCCATCGCAAATTCATGTCTCTCCGCTTGTTTTTGAAGAGTTTGGAGCATCAGTTTGAGTGACACGTCGGTCTCAGACGGCTCGGCCATGTTCCCCTCTTGAGACATATTGTCAAACCTGCAAAACAAATGTATCCTAGTCTACCTTGCAAAGCACTCGTGTATCACTCAAGAAAACACACTCACTCTCAATTTTCCTTCTCGAAGTTCTTAAAACAACTCAAACTCTAAAAAATTCCAGAATTAATTACCCTATAAGCAAGTAATAAGACACAAAGCAGAATTTTGTAAATCCTAGAAAAACTCTACCCGAAGCTGGAACTTTTTTTTTTTTTTTTGAGCTGCTGTTTTGCTGAGTTTCTGGTCAGTATTTTGGAGGGTAAGTGGTGCTTTTGGGATGTTCAAATAATGCAAGAACCAGTCCTCAAATTTCAGGGAAATCGGCTCGCAAAGACTAGCTCAACCGATTTTAGAAACCCAAGAATTTAAAGGCGGTGTGGCTAAGGTGTTTGTGGCGGTTTAGGTTTGGTTTTGGAAACTGATTTTGGGGTGCTTGGGGTCTGGTTAGGTAGTTTGAGGTCGTTGAAATTCAATTAAGATTGGAAACTCAAGAATTGAAAACCAATCAAGATTTGGAGACTCAAGTTTTTTTGGGAAACCAATCAAGATTTGGAGACTAATCAAGAATTGGAGACCAATCAAGAATTGGAAACTCAAGATTTGGGAAACTTGATTTCCTTTGTGTGAGAGCCAATTCCTTCTCTTCTTCCTTTTTTTTTCGGCTTTTCAAGGAACACAAATTCAGATCACACCAACAAGTTCAAGAAAACGGATGAAAGGTTATGCCAATTCCAAGAAATCCCTAGTTCTTGGTTTATTGTTCAAGAATTTTCAAAACAAGACTTGGTGGTCCAAGAACTTCAAGAATTTGTTCAAGAAACACAAGAATTTCCCCAAATTATGTTGCGGTGTCTAGGGTTTGTAAAAACAACAACCAATTCTCAAGAAATAGGCAAAACAGAATTTCAGCAATACTCAAAAGAAAATTCCAACAATACTCTAGCAACTTGAACACTAAAACAAGATAAGGTACGTGACTCTTTTTTTTTTTTTGTCTTTAAACCCTAACAACCCAAACACAAGTATAATAGACCCAAGAACTTGGACAGAAAACACAAAAAAAGACAACACCCAAACAGTTTTTTTTTTGACTCGGATGAACAGTAACGTGAACAGTACGCTACAGTACGATGAACAGTAATTCGGAACAGTAACGATGAACAGTAATCGCTACAGTTTTTTTTTTTTTTTTTTTGACAAAAGACACAAACTAACAAGATATGAACAACTTCAATTAAAAGAGAATTAACCTGATGCTCTGATTACCAACTGATATAGGCAACCCTAGGGGAAGACCCTCCTAGAACCTCCCAACATTGTAATTATCAGAGTTGGATCTTTCCTCCCAACAGAAATTGAACTCGATTGTTCTCATGAACTCAAGACCTCTGACACACAAAGGTAATCAGCAACATTAAGCAAATAAGGATGGAAGAAGCGACACCACGATTAGGGAACAAGCTAATCGATAAAGTCTGATTTGAATCCTAAGCTATGAACTCAAGAATTCAAGAGTAAGTTCGGTTAAGAACTTGAAGGAAAATTCCTCACGATTTCTGGTTGTAATATTCTGTCCTTTACTCTTACAAGAGGTGCCTTTTTATAGGCTAAAAACTAGGGCAAAATCCGGCCCACATAAACCTGGAAGAGATTCGGTCCGCATAAAAGAGCTTAAAGAGCTAGCTCTTTAAGGCTTTCCGATAAGGCCCGATAAGTAATAAAATACTCAACGCCTAACAACTACTAAACGGGACAGTCTTAAAACAACTACCAACTAAGCTAACAAGTATGAGATCACTCCTTTACTTCAAACGTACAAGTGAACAAAGTAACTTCATGGTCCATCAAATCTTCAAACTTAGCTTGTTCCTTGCTTGTATGGTGAATGATCAAGGCTCGTAAAGCTTCCTTCACCCTCTTGGATCTTGATCTTGTCATCGGACCGCCAATGTGGACCAAAGGATCCTTGACCCAAGGTTGAAGTTAATTATTACACACCTGTATCCGCATCACATCCAGCCCGTGTCAAGCACTAGGGCGAGAACCATTACAAAATCAAAGAACTAGACTAGGCTAGTCTATACAGAGCTCTCGTCCTGCTCGCTGTCCCCTGTTACGGAAAACAAAACTAAAGGAATGACCTAAAAGCTCAGTGAGGTTCCGAACACATAATCAAACAATCAATCCAATACATTAATCATAGAGTATCAATAGTTCAAGAAACATTTACAATGGAAAGCGATAATAACACATTCATTAAAAGGATACGAGCTCACAAGGAGCCATTCGTTCGTTCGTTCGTTCATTCTCCTGTCATTCCCCTTATTCCTCCAATTATTTGAAAATGCGTTTTTGTAAGTAAAACCCTCGTTTGCATTGACATTCGTTCATTCATTTCATTTCACCCCCTTCCGGACGTTGGCTAGACTCTACCCGACAACAAGGTAATACTCGAGTATACCAAACGTTCACCCAGGGTCACTAAATCGCCCGACCGAGTCCGCTTCTGGCTCGAGTCGATCAGTAACGAAGGGCAGGACCCAGTTCAGCCAATGCTTACATTCATGCATATATAATCATTCAATCATTGAAAATTTCACATTCATTTAAGTCGAGTGCGATAAAGTACACACTCGCCTAAAAAACTTGTTTTTAGCAATCATTGAAAGCATTTAACATTCAATCAAATATCCATAACATGGAACAAGGCATATAGTCAAGAGTAACATAACAACAAGGAACACTCACCTATTTAAGCAAAATAACGTCCAAAGATTCCTTCCGGATAATACTCTCAATCACCAAGGAACCCTAATAATCAAACGAACACATTATGCTTCAACCATCAAAGATGTAAGTGAGTCAAAGACAAGTCGAATACGTACTAGTACAAAGTATAAATATGGTTTTGGTAGTGAAAAGAGTACATTGAAACCAAAGGACATAAGTAAAATATTTGTAAAACTTAGACTCACTTGTAAAACTATAAAATCGCTATTTGAGTCGAAGTGGCAAGGAAAACGTAAATACCCTAAATGGTTCACGTGGTATTCGCTCTCAAGCCTTACTTAAGTCGCAAGGATATCGACCTAGTTCTCGAGCGTAAATTTGGGCAGCACGCAGCGGTCCCGACGAGAGTTGGGCAGGCAGTCCACCGAACCCTTTGGTTCGCCTTAGGGGGATCTCCTAGAAATTCCGCACTCAAAGTTACTGGTTTGGTGCTGTCTATAAACTGTATATAGTACCGTATTTTTTTCTTCTTCGGAACCCTTTTTTTTGGTTTCTACATATCCATTTTTCTTGGTTACAAGATGAGGAATTGAGATATACAATCAAGGGATGGTTTTTATCCTTTTTTATTTTGTTTTCTTTGGAGTGGTGCACGATTCACCTCACAGGGTCATAGACATTTCTATACTTATTATCCCTTTTTTCTAATGAGCTTACTTTCGATTGATCAGCATCAAAGGGAATACCCACAACAATACATCAAGATATTACCTGAAATACACTAATAAGCAAACACTATTTGGTTGGAAGATAGAAAAATCAATTCCAAGTGCAGTACATAAGTCCCGATTGGCCTTTATGTAAGCTACTCTATTCCATTCTGCTATGACTACTTTGATATCTGCAAGCGCATAATGAAGCACTCCATCATCAAAAATGATGATATTGGATTGGTAAATCTGACTAAACTCAAGCTTTTCTTTTCTTTCATGGTGACTTCTCAGATTAAGAAACTCAATTGCTGAACTATGTTAACAAAATGGCACTTATCACATGTGCAGAAACATCTCATCAGAGGTTGTTTTCATTAGGTAGAAATTGAAATGTTGATATTTTGGATAGTTAATTTTAGTGTAAATTTTTGTTTGTTTGAATGGTGTTATTTTCTTTGACCTTGCTACATTGTGTATGGAAGTGGTAATTAGGTTTATGGATCTTGCAAATTCAATGTTTACTTTGTTTTGGTCTCTAATTTGTGGGGAATTTTATTAGATTGATATACTAATCATGTAGGAAAAAAACTGCCATAGTCGTTGCAATCTTTTAGCTCGTAGTGGTCCTTAAGGTATTACTTTCTTGTGCAATTTTTTGTGGTGATTGAATTTTAAGGTATTGGCTTAACCTCTATGATTCTCTATTCCATTATATAGGCGAATCAGCTCAGGGTACAACTATTACATAGCTGATAAAGGATTGAATAATAAATCTTGTATTCCTGTATATTTTCCACTATTTGGACATTTGGATCATCAGGTGCTTAACGATAATCTTTTAGTGATAGTTTTGAGCTCATAGCCAAACAAAATAGAGCTTCTTAGTGATAGTTGGTAATCATCTTTCCGTTTTGTTCATTATCAAGCATTGTAAGGGATAGGATTTTCATTTTTGTGTTCTACTTGCCAATGTATATTGTTGCTTCATGAATAATGTCTGTTAAAGATGTAATCACAAAATTTCTCATGACTCAGTAGTGTCCTAACTTGTGCTGAGGCTACCCTTGCCAACTATGGGTTTTACATGGTTTTGCAGCCTATATTTTCCTTCATTTATTGCATTGCCTAGAGGACAATATAAGCTCTTCCCCTCCGATGGACTGCTGCTTAAGCTTATAGATTACCTCTTAAGTAATTTTACAAGTTGGATTGTTTAGGAAATTTTCTTTTCCATGGTGTTGTCTAGTTGTAGATGATTTATGTTATTCTTACCTGCATTTGAGACTGGTAAGATTGAAGTCTCAAAACTTGAGTGCTCTCTTAAATTATCTCACCTACTTATGTGCCTATAATTTGCTGAAGAAAATGACCTTTTGTTTATTTAGCTCAACCTAAGCTTTTGCCTTTCTTGGATTTCTTCTGGAGTTGGAAGCAAAAATGGCCACCTGTGAAGAACAACTGGTGAGAGAAAACGTAAGTTTTATTGTGTCATTCTGATTTAATTTTTTCCTTTAAATTGCTCTTTTGAGACCTAGTATGCTTTTCTCGTTGGCCATTTTCAATGGCCTTTGCTCTTTTCAAACTCATTCAAATTTTCTTTTTAATCATTTTTTGGCGTCTTTCACGTAGGTATTTTGTTGATCTGCTCAAAAAAAGCATTCCCAATGGTAACTAAAAAGATACACTTGTTTAAAATATATTTCTTCATCTTCAAAATGTATTTCTTTTTGCTTCAGCTCTTCTGTTTCTTTTTCCTTCATTGGGTTTCCAACACTTAAAGATCTAATGAATTTCTTCTCTAGGAATCAGGAATTCTCTGCCAAGTTGGACATTGGCCAAAATTTTGAGTTACAAAAGATCTTGGGATGCTACTCTTTTGAATGCTGTGTTCAATTTTTTGTCTTTTAGCACAGAAAATTGTCTCTTGTTAAAACCTTTTGAATATTTGTTTTATGAGCCTTAAGTGGATATTAAACCAAGTATTTTCAGCAATCTTTTTTTGATTAATTGTTTCTGATTCACTGGATCTTATAAATGGTTTTCCTGTTTGTAGGTGGTTAAAGTTTTGCCCAAGACAAGGATTCTCAAATATTAGATTCTAAGCACCTGCTTGAAATAGTAAGTTATTGTTTTAACACCTTAAATGTTCTATTCATTTGCCGAAAAAAGAATTAACTTACTGCAGTACTGTAGTTTTGCCTCTTTAATCATAAACTATGATTATACCTGGCAATTGGGCGGGTTGATATTGGATTTTTACTTAAATGGGTTATACCCAACCCGCCCAACTTTAAATCGGGTTAGTTTTGGGTTGGGTCATATTGGGTCATCTCAAACCCAAGACCCAAATATGACCCAATATATTAATTAATAGATTTTGATACATAAATTCTCTCAAATATATTTTTGCATATAAAATTTTTTTTTTTCACACACTAAAACAATTTTGGTCCAAGTTCAATATTGCATGAAAAAATGTTATACCAATATTAAACAAGATCCAATCACTCCTTAATTAAATTGAAACTTGATAAGAGAGATAGAATTCTCAACCAATTAGTTCAAATATCACTATCCAATTCATTTGAAAATTCTTCAAAAAATTAACGCAACATTAGAACAGGTCCAATGACAACACAACCATCAACTAGTCACCAATAAAGCACATTCTATTCCTTCAACAACTCATTAAGGAAAGATAAATAACTACTGAACACCCCAAAAATGCTAGAATTCAAAGCTGAAACTAATTTGCTTTATGGAACTTAGGCAGCATTCAAACTGTGACAGCCCCACCTCCCCCTAAGGCGAACCAGAGGGTTCAGCGGGCCGCCTGCCCAGCTCTCGCCGGGACTCAGTCGTTCACTACAATCCTCAAATAAATTACAAGATAAAACTCAAATATTACATCAAATTCTCCAATAATTACATGTCAAAAGCAAAGCGGAAATAATTCCCAACTATACATAAAATGATTTCCAAATCCAAATTATACAAAACATAGGCCATCCAGTCACGTGCACAAGTACTACAAGCCCTTCCTTCGCCTTGAGCCCTGTGGAGGGGAATAAAATATTTTTGGGGTGAGCTGGAAGCTCAGCGAGTAACCAGTAAAATCATTAAACAAATATATTTCACAATGTTGCATTTCGATCATTTCGATGATGTCATGATTCAGAGATCAAATGTTCGTTTAGTGCTCTCGTGAGCCAGGGAAATCATAGCACTTGAACACCCAACGCTCAAATAGATCATTTAACATTAACATTAACATTAAGAGGGAGCCCCTTCTTGAGCTCCAGATAAACATGAACATGAACCATAAACAGAGTGGAGACGTTGGTGTCCAGCACAAGACTTTCCCAGAACTCATTGAAGCCAAATCATGTCATGAACTCACATGCAAGCACGCATGATATGCAATCGAGTACATAATGCAAGAAACATTTCACAAGTACTTTGGAAATAGTTTAGGATCACTCACCTCCACGGCTCAGAAATCATCCATCATATAACATTGCCTTGCTCAAATCCAAGTCTTAGATCACAAACTCAATGCAAACAAATCCCTTCAAAGTTCGGACAGCACTTCCCCTGAATTTGCTAACTTTTCCAGCCATCATGGCTTCATTTTTTCCTCATTCCAACCCAAAGGTACACACACAACAACAAGTTCATCCAATAGCCATTCAGCAAGCTACAAGTAGTACTAGTACAAGTCAAGCCAGGGAAAAGTCCGGAAATGAAAGTTAAGCTCAAAACTAGAAAAACAGTTTTGACGTCATTTTGCGGTAATGGCACCAAAGGCGCTACGATTGTCGGATGAAGGTACAAGATCCACTGTTTCGAATCTAAGAGATAGGGCTACAATATTACAGAAGGTCACTCAACCCAGTTTCGAGTGTAACCAGGTCAAAAATGCAAGATACCATACCAGAATCACAAAAACAGATTCACAGAACGCATTCTAGCGGAAACATCATAAATCAGGCTATCCAAGTCCAAATCCAGAAATTCCAAAACCAGCTGAAAGATAAGAAACAGGACTAAATTTCATCAGAAGACCTCAACAACCAATTCCGAAGCAATTCCAGCGACAACAACCAATTACAGGCGCAATTCTTACATTCGGGTAAAACCAGAACAGCAATAGTAATTTCGACTTTTCTCATTCTACACTACTCTGATTGACCTGAAATTTTGTAGGAACCTCTAAAATGTCATTCCCTACAACTTTCATGTTTTAATCCAAGGCCAATTCGGCCTCTAACTAGGAGCTATAAATTCAGGCAGAATGTTCCTTCACAAAACCTAATTTTCTGAAATTTCTTCCAAAACAGAAATTGATTGCAATTGACCACTTTTTCTACCTCATAGAGTCCTTAAACATCATTTCCAATCATCATATATAACCACACAACCATGTTCATATTAAAACAGAAAAATCTCCAAAAAATATAAAACTTCACTAATTCAACCAAAATCAAGATATAATCCATAAAAGTGCATCTTATACCACCACCAATCATGAATTGAACATCATTAGAGGAAGGAGAGGGGTCCTTCACAACTCACCTTAGCAATACAAGAGAGAGAGCAACTAGTCACCTTAACTTTCCAAACAACTTCACAACCAAGCTCAACTCCACCAAACTAAGAGGTTTTATGGAGTAATTGGAAGATTAATCGGTTTAATTGAAAGATTGAGTGAGATGAGAAGCTAGAAAGTTGAGAGATTTTTCTTCTTTTCCTTTGAGAGAGAGCTGGCCATGAAGCATAGAAATAGGATGATTTTTGGGTCAAAATTGAGTATTAGTAAAGGTAAGAAATAATGGTCAAAGTCCAAGATTAAATCACAAGGTGACACTTGTCACCTTTTTGGTTTAAAACTTATCTTTTTGTCTCTCCAATACAAATATCTTAACACTTTGTAAAATAATAGCACTTAATACAAAATTCCAACAAGTTGTCAAAAATATAATGCATTTACCGCACTTGCGGGTTCCACGTTCAAAATACGCTCTTAATTTCTCAAAAACTAACCGATACTAGAAAAATCATTTTAAAACTATCGTTGCTCATAAACTTTATCTGGGGAAATTTTCTAATAAAGAAAATGTAGAAAAGACGGGCGATTAAATAAACTAAACCCTAGAAAATTAGAAAATTTCCGGGTTCTCACACTTATACTTTTCAGGGCGTCACACAAACCCAGTGATATAACAAATGGACATATACTGGAACATCTGCAGCAAAAATAAGATGGCAAGTATTAGCAACCAACAAATAAGCAGAAGCAACGGAAG